TTACCTTGGGCAGGGTAATGGTGTCCAAATTAGGGTGGCGCCGTGTGTAATAGATAACCAGGCCCCCGCCCCATAGAACACAATGAATCTTACAATAACAAACTTAAAAATAAACTAGTATGTAATACTTAGAGAAAATAAAGAAGAAATTAGAGATATATGTGAGGTGTCGGTGGGCAATGTGTAATGTGTGATGTGTATTTTTTGATTAGGATTATCTACACTAACATTATAAAGAGAAAATATTTGCATAAAGGGAAAACAAGGGCCTGGTATGTAAATAAAGATACAATGAAAGACACATACATTTTAAGGATGTTTGTATAATTTTTAGATAAAGAATCCGATTATTATATTTGTTAGGGGCAAGCTGTAGAGCAAATAACACACCTTTGACGAGATTATTCATGGTACATTCGATTTGCGGAAATGAACCTTTTGTAAATAAGGCTTATCCGATAGTGTAAAAAGTTAATGGTTTAAAAAAAAACGTAAAAGACTTACAGTAGTAGAGCCCGCTTTAACATCTTTATATGGGTCAGCTCGCCTGGTAAAATACCACGACCTTACAGAAGACAAGCATGAAATGGGATAAATTCCGCGTACAGTCTGATAATTGTGGTGCTGGAGGCCTAAATTTAGTCCCTTTTCCTTTCAAGTTTCTTTAAGAGGAAAGGATGACAAGAAAAAGTCGATTTGACGGTGGAAAAGAAGCATAGGGGAAATTTCCTGTTTATGTGCGCCTACTCTTCCGTCGATTAAGGGTTGGCATTTGCATTTCTATGGGCAGTCGTCTCTTCGCCATTTAGGCGGATTCAGGTGGCCGCTCTCCACCTAATTATATATAAAAATGTAATCCCACAACCGAAAAAAGGAAAAACTTCAGTGTTTAAGTAGTTTATGTTTTTTTCGCTTTTCAATTTACGATAAGTAGCAATGGAAATTATTTAGTGACTCAGCTATATTTTAAATATTGGTGACATCATGTTCCTTGATAGTGCCATCGGTATGAAATAAGATGATCAATAAAGAGATAATCAAGTGATGATTTTGACACAACTTCTACAAAATTTGATAGCGAAATAAAGGTTAAAATTGTTTTTTGTTAACATGTAGGTAATTATGATAATTAATTACCATAAAGATAAACGTGTCATTGTACTACTAACATATTGAAAGGAAAAAGTATTCAAGGAAAGGTCTTTCCAAATTTGTTGTTTCTTATCTTACAGTATAATTCCAGTGGCGTGAACCTTGTATTAGTCTCTGTTTTGTCAAAAGAGAGTGAACGGGACAACAGTAAGTATTATTACAAGCATCATAGCAGTGAAATTCTACGGTTACGTCGAGTTTCCAAGTACGAGTTACTCGGACTTTATTTTTCTTTAAAAACGTTGTAGCTTACGTATCAGGTCTGCCATCTCGTATTTATCTCAGCACGAGTTGATACTATCAGTATCGTTGTCTGCGCTTGCGGAATTTGACAGGTCCAGCGTCACATATCTATGATAGCACTACATTATATGTGGTGTGAGTGCGTCTAGATTACACATCTGTTGTGGTGTTTGACGACGCAAAGGTGTTTGTGATCCATGTGGGATGGCTTTGAAAGGATGGCGGCTTATATTGAATCGAGGTAAGAACTTTTGTTAACCACTAATAGGAACGTTAGATGAATTTTTTTAAATATAAGCACCTTACGTGAAGAATTAAAAATACATGTTAGTGCTGGTATTGTGAATTTCAATTTTGAGAATTCAAATGATTTCAAAGAGAAGATGTACATATACAAAAAAGAATAAAGACAGTGTCAAATGATTCGTGATCTCTTTTCTTATGGAATTCTAACTTGTTTCAGTGACTTTCATACCTCAACGCTATGTACTTGGCATTATGGGTCTGTTTGCTTTGGCAAATGCCTTCACGATGCGGGTCTGTCTCAGTATGACCATAACACAAATGGTCCTACACGCAGAGTCCTCTGAGCATATTGTTGGCGAAACTTGCCCTGACAATAGCGATACCTCAGGATCTGGAGGAAGTAACAGTACAGTTTACTTTGAAGTACGTACATCACTAATTGACCATATAAAATGTTTCCAGTCTGCTCTGCAGATCTTTCTTTACAAATAGCTTCATGCTCGTATAAAAATCATTAATTGTCTTAATTTTCGCCAGCATTTTGTGTTATACGCATAATATTATCTTTATGGCAGTGGTAAATGCTGAAATAAGCAACTAGCAAAATTATCTAAGAGTAACTATTGCGCTAAATCTTGTAAAGTAACCACTCTTTTTTTTTAAATTTTTTAAATTCGTCAATGTCAATATTATTAACGTTAGGGCTATCACCATTAGTAGTATCAAAAGCTAAAGGAGTCCTACGGCCATTGTGATCCACAGAACTTCTCAATACTGGAACAGTTTTAAATTTACCAACATTGCATTGTGATATAAATTTGTAACAATACAGGGACGGGATCGATATGACTGGAGCGAAGCTACACAAGGGTTTCTTCTAAGCGCGTTTTACTACGGCTACGTGATAACCCACTTGCCAGGAGGACTCTTGGCTGAAAAGTTTGGAGGAAAATGGACACTTGGTTTGGGTCTATTAGTCACGTCCATAGCAACAGCTCTAACCCCCTTGGTAGTTAGTATGTGGGGAGCCGTGGGATTGTTCATCATGCGTGTTATCGAAGGATTTGGCGAGGTAAGATAGGCCTAAATTTTATGTAATACGATTATTTATCTTTATAATGTCATCGGTGTAGGTTCAGTATCTTTTTGACGTTTTAGATATCTCCTGAGCCGGAAATCGATACGTTTACATAATGATCAAGGAGTTTTCCTTACGTATACTATATATTTAGAATCGATCCATGTCTATTGTAATCATGCCAGCCAAAAAAATTAGGTCCTATATAAATGAATGTTAGGATAACCTTTGCAAGATTTCTTTTGTAATCAAGGGATCCGCATTTTACTATAAAATTTTGCCATTGAAAATGTTTCAATGAATTTGAGATCTTACAATTTTCTCGATTGAACGTTTTTCATTAAGAATATTTATTGTTTGGTATTTCAGGGACCAGTTACCCCAGCGTTTGTACTATTACTAGCTAGATGGGTACCGCCTTCTGAGAGGTCACGTTTTGGAGCTATGATATTCGGTGGAGCTCAGATTGGTAACATCTTTGGTCCCTACCTTTCGGGTATACTCTTAGCAGACGGTGGGGATTGGGCTAATGTATTCTATGTCTTTGGAGGGCTGGGTATCATCTGGTTCGTATTTTGGGTAAGTGTAAACTGTAAAAACCCATCTCTTCAATTCCCTATGGAATAAATCAAGGTCAAATTGAAAAAACACTTTAGTAGTTTAAAAGGAATATATTTTTACACTGATTGTGTCAGAAGTTATGGTCATAATTTGAACTTAATCGTCGTTTTGCATCAACAAGAATGTTTTTATTGAATGTTTGATGAACTAACAATGCTATGCATTTAACGATGATTTAGATAAGATCCGAGATAAAAAACTGAGATCTTGTTTATTTGATAGAATTACACTTAGATTGAGATACTGTACAATATGATCGAGCTAAAGTAAGAGTAAACAGAAATGGAAACCTTCGAGAGTTTTTCAAAACAGTTGAATTTTTAATGACATTAATGTTATGATATCGACTGAAATACAACTTTAACATATTTTAACATAATTTTTCTCATTTCTTAATTCGTATTCGTTTTCCTAAGAAATAACTCCGTGGCTCTACATTTATAACGGTCCAATTATTTCAGGTGCTTTTATGCTACAGTACACCTAATTCCCATCCTTACATTTCCGACGAGGAGAGGAATTATTTGAACAATAACGTGGCTGCTTCGGGCTTACATAAGAAATTGGATCCAGTTCCATTCAAGGCAATGCTAAGATCCGGCCCGCTATGGGTTCTTATAATGGCAGCTGTAAGTTAGATTTTTGATTTAACAAAATAATGATACGAAAATTGTTTTTTAAATTCTGCAAATGCAAAGTTTAGTTAGTAATAGTAGTACAGACATCAGAAAACATTTATTCAATTTTTAAGCTAACCTTAGGAAAGTACAACTCCTTTTACTTGTTGTTTCACAGTATTTATGTTATTATTTATAAATTTCTTATATTTTTCTTTCTGATTCTAGCGGATTTCTACACCATGAAATAATCTTGCGTCTGAATTTTTATAGATCGGTCACGACTGGGGCTACTTTACGATGATCACCGATCTGCCGAAGTATTTCTCCGATGTTCTCAAGTTCAACATCAAGGAGACCGGTCTCATGTCCGCGTTGCCATACATTGCGATGTACATCTGTTCCTTCATATTTGCAGCGCTCTGCGATTTCTGCATTAAGAAGAAATGGCATAGCATTACAACAGGCCGAAAAATTTATACAACTGTCTGTTAGTACAGTTATTACTATTTCTTTTGATTCATAAAGATTAGATTTGATATTTTCCAATACATGCGTTTTTTCTATTATTTTTTTCAATGCATCGAATTTACCTCTCTTCTGTCGCATTTAATAAAATTACGGTTACCTCCTTTTTTAAATGATTTATGATGCATTTTTAACCTATCTTTCGTAGTCAAAGAAATGCTAAAAGTTAATTTGACGCTGTACATTTTTGTACAATATAAACATCGGAGTTCATTTTTAATTATTTTACTCAATCTTTAATATAAATATTTTTCTCTTCCCAGCATCATCCGTACCGGCACTTTTTATAATACTGGCCTCGTACTCTGGATGCGACCGCTTCCAGGCTGTGGGTCTATTTATTGCATCGATGGCGTTCATGGGAGGATTCTATAGCAGCGTGAAGATAAATGCCATGGATATAGCTCCGAACTACGCTGGTACATGTTCTGCGTTTGTGAATGGTATAGCTGCTATTTCAGGAATCATTACACCGTATTTGATAGGATTGTTAACGCCTGATGTAAGTAAATAACAAACTTTTTTTTTATTTTAGAATTATTGATTATGTTTCAGAAAATAATTTAAATTCTTAGTTAAATAATTAAATATTACCATAACAAAAAAAAATCGTTCGTCTCTGAAGCTAGTTGAACTTTCGTTTTGATGTTGTCAACTCTTTTGCACGCTATTTTACCCCTTTTGGTATAAAAAATACTGTTCGATAATTCGGTAAAGATACTTTATAAAGGTCATTATTTACGTCACAATCGAGTTTGCTACGGGACATTAGTATTCGGTTGAGCGAGTTCGTTTCGGTCAAAGGTGAAAATTTAATAAGTCAACTGGAAACCAGCTTGACTTTTTTACCGTACTTCCTTTTAATGTTGATTTAGCTCTTTGGCGCCTGAAAAAAATCTTGAAGCAAATTTCATTTATTGAAAATTGTATTATTTTATTTATGCAGGCGTTGTGTCAGTAGTTTAAGTTATTAGAATTATCTCTTCTATAAACCAAATTATGTATCAAAAAACGTCACTATGTATACAATCTATTGTATCATCTTTGCTTATCGAAGTAAATAAAACTTCTTCAATATGATTAGATGATCGCATCGCAAAGTATGTTTCCAAAGGCCTTGGGATATCTCAGATGACTATCAAAATATGCTGTCAATTTCATTTGACATATTCAAGTAACGTAAAAGATAGTAAATTGTACTAAGAGATAAAACTAAGAGATTCTACTCTGCGTCATAGTAGGGTCAAAATTACTTTCAGGACCTTGGCGCAATACTAATCATATAATAACAAAAAACTTACTCCACTTTTCCAACTAGAAATAGGTTATGCAGCACAAGGTTTTTATCTGAAACACTTTTCCAGTTTATTAAAAGTTTCTGTCTAATTTTTAATCTCAATGCATATTGGTAGATGACAAGGGTAAGGTAAAAGTAGGTCTAGGTAAATTTTACAAAATAGTTTTTAAAGTCTACGGAGTGTTAATAAACACTTAAACCTGTCAAGTATCACGTGCAACCGAATTCTGATAACTGAAAAACCTGTCAACAATTGGTATCGTATCACTAACTAAAGAGTTGTGTAGTATCTTGTTTCATCTTACAAACTTAAAGTTTGTAATCTCGATATGAGTTACATCACTATCTCACTATCCACTGAGGGGCTCGGAGCCTACCCTAAGTAAGGGGTGACTAGGCTTTAGTCAACCACGCTTGCCACGTGCGGGTTGGTTGACCACACAAATCTCTGAATTTCTTCGCTGATATGTGCAAGTTACATCACGATGTTTTCCTGCACCGTAAAGACTTCGGGTAAATTATGTACATGTTAAATTCGATTAATCGAAAATCACATTGGTACATGGCGGGATTCGAACCCAAGATCTCTGGATTACAAGTCAAGTGCACAAACCCCTAAGCCACCGACGCTCCATATAAGTACACCTTTACTTAACTAAAACCTCATAGCGAA